GGGGGAGGAGGAGGAGGAGGAGGAGGAGGAGAAGAGGAGTAGCAGTAGTAGTTTGGAGAGGGAAAACATATTTTAAGTTCAGAATAACCACATAACATTTGGAAATGGCTCAGATAGACACCTGTCTGGTTCACTGGAGTATAAGGAGAGGGAGACGGAACAGGCACAATCTGACTCACAAGGTTCTGTTATTACAGCTCATTACAATGGTACCTTGATACTCAACTACTGAAACTCATAGAATTTGGTATTCAATACATTTTGACATGAAAATTTTGTCCTGGTGCTCATCGTTTGTTTGGTACTCAACATACAAACTAGAACTTCTCGGTGTTGGCTGCCTTGTGACTCACTACATTATTCCTTACGGGAAAAAAAATTATTTGGTACTCATCGTTTTTGGTACTCATCGTGCCTCCCAGAACCAATTTATGACAAGTACTGAGGTACCACTGTACAATCAAAGTAGCTTCAGCCTTTAGCCTGTGGAGTTGATTCCTTGGTTTGATTTACCTATCGGGTCTCACACCTGGTGTGCATAAAAGGAGTCGTGTTGGCAAGCTAAATACACAACAACATACCTTGGGAATAGTAAGCTTTTCTCCCTTCTCTGAACATTCTTCTGTGTCAGAACAGGTGTAATTTTCATTGAAAGATGCCAGAGTATTGACTCTTGGTCTGTGAATAGCTTGGAAGGTCAACTGTGTGCTAAGCAGGTTGCTCACTGCTCGGAGGGAGGTGCAGACATTGGGTGGCAACGAAGGATCTGCTAGAAGGTCGGTAATGAGTCCATGAGCTTCTCCCATGACGGCAATATCTACTGTAATACTGGTCCCCGAAGACTGGAAAGAGAGGAGAAAGAAACATTAGCCCTAAATTAGAAAGTAAATAATGCATAACTATGCCAGCGTGATTTGTGCAGTGGGAAGGGAAGGAGGCAGGTTGCCCTGATGCCCGCTGGCATTGCACCGCTGACCTAGGGCAGCGTAGAAGAAAAAAAACCACCACATAATTCTTGTTCTATGCTTTCTATGGTACCATTAATGGGTACTAACATCAGCCAGAAGATGCTGTTTAAACATTAAATGGGAAAAAAAACAGCAACCATAACATAAATGAAGCAATTCGTACTGCTTCTACTATGACTGCCTGTATAATTCAGTTTTATATGTTCATGATGTAAACATCCATGTTCTTAGAAAAATGTATACAGGTTAACTTACAACCACAGATGAGCCCCAAGCCCCTTGTTGCTAAGTGGGACCTTTGCCACATTTTACGACCTTTCTTGCCACAGCTCTTAAGTGGATCCGTTATTAAATTAGTAATATGGTTGTTAAGTGAATCTGGCTTCCTCGTTGACTTCGTTTTGTCACAACGTCGCAAAAGACGATCACATGGCCCTGGGACACTGCAACCATCATAAATTGCTGCACGTCCAAATTTTGATCACGTGACCATTGGGGATGCTAAATGGTCGTGGGAAAAACAGTCACAAGTCGCTTTTCTTCAGCAGCGTTGTAACTTCAGAAAGTCACTAAACGAATGGCTATAAATGGAGGTCCACCTATATGTCCTTCAGTGGCTCTAGCTCCGTGAAGGCTAACCTTTTCATCGTCGCATGCCGAAAGTGCGCAAACGCACACATGCGTGCATGCACCCATAATGCAATGTGCTTGCAACCCTCCTGCCTCCCCTGCGATTGCGACCCCATGCATACTCCACATAACCTCTGCGCATCTGCACGCATCTCCTGTGCATGCACAGCAGATAACCAATGATCAGCTGGCTTGAGGGAGGCACGCGCGCATGCGCAGTGGCCCTGATCTGGAGCAACGGCTCGCGTGCCGGCAGAGATGGTTCTGCATGCCACTTCTGGTAAGCGTGCCATAGGTTTGCTCTAGCTCATGGGTGTCAAACTCACTAGGTCAAATTGCCCGTCACGTGACATTTCGTGATGTTTTTCCCATTCGTGGAGCTAGGGTGGGTGTGGCCTGCATGTGACGCATCCAGTCCACGAGCCACAAGTTTGACACCCCTGCCTTTAGCTCATCAATATTTTTCTTTTGTCTCCAGCACCTGGGAAAGGACCATAAGGCTTTAAGAAGCCATTTCTCTAAAGCCTTTTTTGACAGCTGGCAGGAATAGCTAACACCCAAGAAGATAGGCTCAAGATCCAGATGGATCTTGACAGACTAGAACACTGGGCCGTATCTAACAAAATGAAATTCAGTGTAGAGAAAAGTAAAGTCCTAAACTTAGGCAAGAAAAACCAAAAGTACACATATAGACTGGGTGAAACCAGGCTCAATAGCAGTAACTGTGAGAGGGAACTTGGAGTCTTAGTGGACAACCAGCTAAATATGAGCCAGAAGTGTGCAGCAGCAGCCAAAAAAGCTAATCAATCCTAAATTGCATTAACAGAGGGATACAATTGAGATCAAGTGAGGTACTAATACTACTCTATAAAGCCTTAGTAAGGCCACACCTAGAGTACTGCATCCAGTTTTGGTCACCACATTATAAAAAAGATGTTGAGACTCTAGAAAAAGTACAGAGAAGAGCAACCAGGATGATTAGGGATTGGAGACTAAATCATACGAAGAACGTTTGTAGGAACTGGGCTTGGCTAGCCTAGTAAAGAGAAGGACCAGGGGAAACATGATAGCAGTCTTCCAATATTTGAGGGGCTGCCACAGAGAGGAAGGGGTCAAGCTATTTTCCAAGGTACCTGAAGGCCAGACAAGAAATAATGGATGGCAACTGAACAAGGAGAGATTCAACGTGGAAATAAGGAGAAACTTCCTGACAGTGAGAACAAGCAATCAATGGAACAGCTTGCCCTTGGAAGTTGTGGGAGCACCATCATTTGAGAGTTTCAAGAAGACATTGGATTGCCATTTGTCAGAAATGGTGTAGGGTCTCCCGCTTGGGCAGGGGGTTGGACTAGATGACCTACAAGGTCCCTTCCAACTCTGATTATCTGTTATCTGACAGTAGTCAAAACATCAATGTTAACCTGTGTCCTAATTTGCTTTATGTTCATGGAAAAAGCAATGCAAGGTTGGAAATGCAATTACAGACTTGATTGACGGTTAAAAATATGGGCCATTCCATATTGTTCTAGCAAGGAAGATTGCCAACCCATCTCAAAGCAAAACAAGGAACAAAATGGCAGGTAGGGAGAGGAAAAAGCCAAAGATCGTCTACCAGACATCAGAAAGCCAGCAACAAGAGTCCAACAAAATATCACGAGCTGATTTCGGTTTCCAAAGCACATCCTGAACTCTCTGGCCAAGACTTAAAATTAAAAGTAAACACATTTCTTCTTTCTCTACTGTTCTTCCTTGCCTTCAATTTCTAATTTCAAAAAAAAAACACAAAAAAACCACCACTTGAGCAGCACAGATCGGCCGTTTCTGTGGAAAAATGCCAGCCATTTTGGAGTTTGCAGTTCGGCCCCAAAAGGGATTTACCGGGATTGAAAATACGTAATTTTTAAAGTATGTTTTCTTAAAAGAAAGTTGGGTTCCTTTCATGCAAATAATGGGTGTGGACTTGACAGACTTTATAAAAATGACTTTCCCTCTCCCATGAGCGTTCCTGTCATTATGGCCAACTGGTGTAAGAATTGAGCCAGTGCGGAAACTAACCATGTTTCTATTAAATGATAATTTGTGGTCTTTGCTAAAAGCAGGCTACTTCACGTCACAGCAGAGGTAGCCCTGGAAGAGCCATGTTGAATGCTGGTAATCCTTAACTGAGCCCAACTGAGCCCAAAATTTCCGTTGCTAAGCGAGACAGATTTTAAGTGAGATATGCCACATTTTACCACCTCTTTTGCCTCAGTTGTTAAGTGAATCACTGTAGTTGTTAAGTTGGTGACAAGGTTACTAAGTGAATCTGGCTTCCCCCTTGACTTTGCTTGTTAGAAGATTACAAACAGTGATCACATGACCCCAATGTGCCAGTTACCAAGCACCTGAATTTTTGATCACATGACTGTGCGGATGCTGCAATGGTCATAAGTGTGAAACATGGTCATAAGTCACTTTTTTCAAATGGTCACTAAAAGAATGCTTGTAAGTTGAGGATTAACTATATACATTATTAGTGCTATTTGTCCCAAAGATGCTTTTTCAAGAAACTTCTTCACTGAAGAAGATTCTTGGATGAGAAGCAAAATGTCTTTAAGAAAAAACAAAGACCAGTTGCCTTTTGAAAAAGCACTTGACCTGGATGACTGAGAATCTCCATAAACGGGACGGCTATTTCAGCATATTTGAAGTTGTGGCCACTCTACAAGATGGCTACCGAACCAAACCTTGATGGTTCTTCATCTCTTCCAATTCCTGTGGAAGTCTTCTGAATCTGTTCTGACCCAAACCTTGTTCCAAGGAAACAAACACGAAATAGAGGTAACAGCAAAACCTTTTAATTATTCTTTACGAATTCCATTTCTTCACGGTTAAAAGGCTGTTCCAAACTAATTATCTCTGATAAGAACGGGCCTTGCCAAGGTTGCGCAAGGCTGCCAAGAGCACTAGATAAAGTTACTAAGAAATATTTCAAACACAAAGAGTCTCCAAAGACCAACCAAGATATTCTGAACATCCACAAGGCTTGAGTGCAAAAACTTCCTTGCTTCCTGCAAAGAACTGCAGTTTCTCAGCTGGCTTTTATCTCTTGAGGGAGGGGACATTACCTTGCAGCCTGACTCCCGAGTCGCCTGTGCTGCTATAGCTGCTTTTCCCTTGGAGTAGCCCTGCATGCATGTGTGCTGGGCACAGGCTCCTCAGGGTCCTCTTCATCACTGCTGCCAGCCTCCACAATCTCCGAAGCCAGCATTTCACTCCCTGATGGTCCTGGCCCCATCCCTGCCTCACATGCAGGCCCTTCATCTGAGTCCTCGCTCTCCGAGACCTCAGCTGTCCGCACCTGCTGCCGGCGAACCACAACAGAATCTTAACTTTGCTTTCAATTAATTCTCATTTCAGATCCTTTTTCTTCCTGCGCTGTGTTGTGGTTATCCCTCTCCTTTGGACTCTCTCCTCCTATTGAACTGTTCACTTTTGATTTCACCCATGGTTCACTTTAGGCTCCTGATAATCTTAGTATGACCCATGGGGCCCAACATCTGCATCAAATATCCCCATGAAGGTATCTCTTGATCCCTAAACGAAACAACCCTCTGGATAATAACTCCTATTCTTGCAAGATGAAATGTGGCTTTGAAATAGCCAGAAAGAAGCCAACAAGGATGAGGATCACATAAGTTCCCGTTGTGAAGATATATTGCTCATGTTTATAACCAAGAATCCAATCAACTAATGTACAATACTAAAATGGTGTCAGATAAAGCTCAACGGGATTAAAGAATGGTTACAACATTTGTGGCAACGTAATGACTCCAGGCCAATGACTCACTTAACTCTGCCCCCTAGAGCTCAGCTTGCTCTTCTGCTACACAACCATAGTTAGAAGAAGCTATGGGTAAGAAGAAGAATACAATCTGGCCTGTGTCATCAATGCCTTGTTGCAGATATAAGAGAAAATATGGTTAATCAAAACAGCCTCATGAATTGGGCTATTTCTCCAACTATTGGGATAATTTAGTCTCCAATGTTTTGTTTTTGACTATTTTGGGACAAAATGGAAAATCTTTTAGTCTCTGACATGTCCCACTTTGAGATGATTAAAAAAACCCCGATATCATCAAGAGTTTGGAATTTCCTCTGTGACAGGAAACACAGCTGTTTGGTCCCCTTTATCCCTCAGTATTTGGTAGAGGAGTGGGATGGTGAAGAAAGAAAATAAAACAATTAAAAGTATTGATCATGAA